CACACACACACACACACACACACACACACACACACACACACACGGCTCTTTCCCACTTACTCAGAAACAACCTGGGACAGGCACACATATATACACTCAGTAGCATCCGATAGCAATGCACAGAGGGGAACGCACACTGGATCCCTGTCCCGTGCAGAGGTAGACGCTTATGCGCGCGCGCACACACGCATACACTGAGGCGGACCGGCGCGATACAGACACACAGGTATACAACCACAATGCTATACACAACCCCCTTCTTTAAATAAGGGCTGGATCCAAGCTTGAGAATTTCCCCTCTACTCCCCATCCCTGCTCCTCAGAAGTTCCCAAGCCGCGGTGCCACCCTGCCCTGCCAGGCGCATCTGTGGGCCCTATCCTCGCCCAGGGCTGGCTGCTGAGATGCTCTGGAGGCTGAGGACCAGCAGAGGCTGCGGGAGCAGCTGGTTGTGGCATGGCTCTAACCTGGTCTTCCTGAAAGCGAGTTTCATGCCTCCAACCGCCGCTAGGGGCAGAGCTGCTTGGCAAGGCTCAGAGAAGCCCGTTTTCAACAGGTGGAGGGCAGGCAGGGAGAGGATTAGCTTGGGGATCAGACGGAGCCCTGCTTTATGTAGATCAGTCAAGTGGTACCCAGAGGGGAAAGGGACTTGTTTAAGTTCTCCCAGTGTGTCAGCCAGAGTTAGAACAGTCAGCCCCCTCAGGATGAAGGTGGAGGCTTCCTTGGGGGGAACTGGGAGGTGGCACAGCCAATACTGGCTTCCAGAAAAGCCCCATACATGTCCCTTTCGGATTGTGAATCTGTGTGTTGCTCTTATTACAAACAATAACCCACTGTACGTGGTTGCAGTGCATTTTGATTTGCAAAGCCCTCTCCAGGAGAAATGATCCCTGATGTACAGGCTTGTGGTGCCTTCTTGTCCTCCAAATGCTGCTTGCCTGGACGTCCCAGCTGAAGTATCCACCTCGCTGTCCAGTTCCCGGGCTGCATCACTGCCTTGTGTGTTTATTTCTTTATTGTCTGTCTTCACTCCCCAGATCCCAGAGCTAGAATTTCCACCCCCACCAAGCCAGGAAAATGTCTGTCTCAGAACTGTTTCCTTAGTGTCTAGCTGAATTCTTGACACATAGGCATACCCACTAAATATTTAGTAAATACACAATTAATTTCTTTTAAACACAATGTGCCTAGCATGACTTTTTAAATGGAGGTACTGGGGATTGAACCCTGAGGGTGCTTTATCTCTGAGCTATACCCACCCCCATGATGTATTTTTATGAACCCAAGCAATTTCCCAAAGGTTGCCACGTTTCTTCCTAAGAACTCAGAGATGGCTTCCTCCTGCTCAGGTCACAGACAGATCTCTGTTTGCAGCCAGTCATCTTACAAGTGTCCATCGGTTTCTACTGGCCACCAGGGAGAGTGTGGATGACCCACTGCATGGCATCCACCTACCAGGAGCCTCTCCAATACTTCTGGGCACCTGCGTCCAAGCATCCTCCTTCTTTGACCATGTAGATCTTGGCTGATGCTCCATCCATACCCTGGCAGGGGGCCATGGGCTTGACCATCCCAGAGTAGCCTGTGGAGGTCGCCTTTGCTTCCTGGTGGAGCCCTGCATCATTGGAGAGAGCATCATTCAGAGACGGAGAAAATCTTTGGCAACGTATCAAAAGGGGGGAATGTAGTTTCTTCCTTCTTCCTTTGCTTTTTTCCCACGGTGCAGTGACTTACTGGTACCCAATCGTGCACTCAGACCTGAAGCTGGCTTCAGCACTTTGCTGGGCTGCCTACTTACTTGCTCTCTCCTGTGAGTACCACAGAGACTTTAATATGCCTTTGTGAAGGTGTCAGCAACACAGATGGTAATGTGCCCCCTGCTGAGCTGTGCCTGCAGATACCAGAGTAGGGCGGGCGAGGGCAAGAATCCGTACCTGCCTGGGAAGGAAAGCCAGACTGGTCTGGTCTGGGAACAGCTGGACCTTCCAGGCACGGACCAGAGGTGCCCTGAAAGTTTCAGGAATTCAGAGGCAGCAGAGAGAGCCCTGGGCTTCGAATAGGCAGGAAGCCTGTGTTCCTTTTCTGGCTAGACCTGAAGAGGCTGTGTGGCCTCATGCAAAACAACTTCCTGCGTCCTGGTTTGCCTTTCTGTAAAATGGGCAGGTTGTCTAATTGATATTGAAGGGTTTTTCTTTAAGAGAGGCAGGGGAATGAAATGAGAGTGCTCTGGAGTCAAGTCTGCTTCTTTTGTTGGGCAAATTAAATCATTTCTCCCAGATACAGTTTTTCAACCTGCAAAATGGGGCAAGTGTCTCCTTTCTAGCGCAGATTTCCTGGCACAGGGTATACATACATCCAATAATTGACAGCAAGGATGAGTCTTCCAACTGGTGGTAGTTCTGATGATAACCCTAGCTGGCTCTGGTGTGGGATCTGATGTGACAGGTGCTGGAAAAGGGGTTGTTGGGTTCAGTTTAGAATTGCCTGACCCCACCATCCGTCCTATCTGCAGAGAGGCAGCACCTGGGTGGGACAAAAGAACAGAAAGCACTGAGGGTCTGCCAGCCAAGGGCAGGAGTACATCGGGTTAGACACAGAGCTTAGGGGACCAGTCATCAGCTAGAAGGTGTAGGGATGCTCAGGCAGCAAGTAGGTGCTGGTGGAGGAAGGTAGCAGAGTGCAGCCCTGCTCTGTTCCTCCTGCCTGCCCGCTGTGCACGTGTGTGCTTGGCAGAGGAAGCACCTCATCTTTGTTCACTTTTTATGAACTTCCCTGTAAGGCATTTATCAAATGCCTTGAACTTGCAAGTCGTCATTTCAGTTAAGCTGCTGGGGCACCTCAAGCATACAGCAGTAATTAAAGGGGAGATGGGTTCACTTCAATGAACTTCTTATTTTGGAATAATTTTCAATTTCCAGGAAAGTTGCAAAGGTAACAGACCATGCTCGTGGACCCCTCATACTGTTTTCCCTGTGGTTAACATCCTCTATTACTAGGGTACCTTTGTCAAAGCTGAGAAACTCATATGGGCACACTGCTTTTTGACAGAATTCCAAATTTTATTTGTAATTCACCAGTTTTTCCATTAATGTCCTCTTTCTGTTCCAAGATGCACTCCAGGGTTCCACCTTGCATTTAGTTATCCCATCTCTCCAGTCTCTTCTGCCCTGTGACGGTTCTTTCTTTCCTTGCCTTTCGTGACCTTGACCATCTTCAGAAGTACTGGCCAGGTATCCTGTAGAGTGTCCAGGGGTCTCATTTCAAACTTGACGTCTCAGACTGGAGGAGTTTTTGGAGGTAGTGTCATCATGTGCCTATTGATG